CGCCCAGGTGAGCTTGAAGATGTTCTTGCTAGCCCCCGTGTTGACCATGTCGCTCTTGTTCTTCAGCATCTCCTCCTGGGCACGCCTATCGCCATCCTTCAAAGTTGTTACAAGGATAAACTTTTAGTTCTACAGACATGTTGAATTGTTCTATACATCAATTGTGTGAGGAGCAGCTAACGATATGTAAAGAACATTGTATAAGTTGAAAGGAAAAGAGGACTCACAAGCAAGGTGTACGCCTTAGCAAGCGAGAGAAGAGTGGGGTAGAGACTCGTGACAACAAGAGCAGCTTCTTCTGTCACTTGTGGCACCTGATTTACATGCACAATAAATGAGAAAACTACTGCATGAAATGGACTACCCGGCAAACTTTGGTGGAGGTGGCCATATTCGCCCAGTTACCTGCATAAGCTGAAGGGAGAATATATCGCCCATAGTGACCTTCTCAAGGTCAGAACACCTCTTCACAAACTCGTCGTAGGTCAGGCAAAGTCGAGAGGTGGCCGTATTTCTTTTCAATGTCAGCATACCCAGTGGTTCTCTGGACATCAAATCCTTCAAGAACCTCAGTAGTGAAGCAGCTGAAATAAAAGGCATGTGGAGGAGAGTTAATAGGGCATAAGGCTGACAGTCAAAGCATTGGGAACAATATTTAATAATGTTAAACAACGAGAAAAAAGTACTGGCATTCAGGGGTCAACATGATCGTCCAGGCTTCATGAGAAGAGTACATACGCTGTTTTAACACTCTCTGATCCATCTACAGTGTTTACATCCCCTTCAACTAGATATATTAACTTCGTTACCCCACATTTCTGCAAAGGATACAACAAATGGAGGTATCATGTCGTATTGTTGCTAAAATAACCACAGCAAACCCATATATATGGACAAGAAATACAATTTCTTTGGGAAGAGATGCACAATCTACAGGCTCAAGCTTATGTCTGCTAATAACATTGTCCTTCATCATCTCATACCCAAATATGGGCTATGCTTTTCAATTAATGATAACAAAGAATAAGTAAAAAAATCTCCTCGGCTAAGATTAGACTCAAGCAACAACAAATCACAGGGGATAGCATGTGGGCTGCCCCTTTTTACTATCAGTGAGAAATTGAAAGCATGAAGAACTGGGAAAGTTAAGATGGAAGGTTTATAATATTAATGACAAAAATCAAATCTATTTTCAGATGGTACCTTCAGTCTTAGTTTTTGATCTTTGTATCTGTTGTCTTTAATCGACCCAAGTAAATCATCCACATTTTTCCTTTCAACAATGAAATCAAGAACATACTCCGTGTCAAGTTCTTTATGGCGAGCAATCCAAAGAGCGTCTCCAACAGGCAAGTGTTTAATCTGGATGACATGGTTCAAACAGAAGGATCAGCACCATTTTCTTTGGCACATTATATGAACAGTTCAATCTATGCAAAGCAACTTTGGTAATATTATTATGCTGTCTCCTTGCGCACAAGCAAGAAAAATATGCAGTCAGCAATCATCAACACGGTGGGGCAGCGACCAAACATATCAGATAATTAATCCAGCAGTACAGGGCATTTAATTTAGAGCCATGTTGATGCATATAATGACTTTTAGCAGTGTATTTTGGTTGTCTGAAGAAATGAACAAGGATAACACCCAGAGGAGTACTGATGAATTAGATACAAGAAGAAAGGAAAAGGCAACCAGTGTTAAACAAAGAAGAGTTCACATAACTCTCAATCCAACTAACCTCTACGGGAATATTAAAATGCGAGCGTATATTATCAACAACTTTTCTTCTGGAACGGGGCCTGCACAAAAAGGGAGCAATCATAAGAGAACTGAATTCTGATACATAGATGGATGATTAAAAAAAAAAATGGATGCAACAATAATCAATTTGTTTCCTTGGAAAATAATTTAATTAAATAACATGCAGAATCTAAATTTTATATACAGAAGCAGAAGGTTAAACAGTTTAAGTAACACGAGATAACGAATCAAAGTGTAAAATTCACAATTCCAGCACTAAGTGGATAAATATGTGAAATCCCTTGCCTATCTTATTTTAACAGAAATAATATTAACATGAAGAATAGAATGCCCTTGCAGGTCATGCGAAAAAGAGACTTGGTACGCATACTCCCAATCCTCAGTTACTTTACCCTCCTCAAAAGATGTTTTTTAGGGGGGGGGGCTAAATATATTGTTTATTTGCTAAGACAGCCTTATTATGATCCTACTTAAATATCAGACACAACTAAAAAATACAACTCATGAGTAAGATACGATCATACAGACCCGAAAGTATCTCGATCATCCAATATCAGCACCACGTCATAAACTTTCAGAAAACTTTCATTAGATTGATGAGGTGGCATAGCTAGTAAAGACTTTTCAGCAGAACCCTGACGTTAGAAAAGAAAATGTTGCATTATGTTCCATTTGAAAAAGAAGGGTACGGAAAGGGAAAGTCAAGTGTACCATTGCACTAAACGATTGCTGTCTGAACATTCCTCGAGATGAAAGAGGAGAATTAGTAGCACGGTCGTTGTCTGAAAAAAAATGGCATTAACTACAAAGATCAGCGGGTTGTAATATTTTGCTTAGACTACCCACAGTGGGAGTAATATAGGTGGTAACATCACATATATCTAGGCAAAATAGATGATGTGGCATGTAATTAATGAAGAAAGAGAGGCATGTGGTAACATAGCTAGTTACTGTAACATCACACATATTAAGAAAAGATGAGTCTACAACGTAATACATGAAGTGATGCATGACACAACACATATGTTACTACCCACTGCGAAGGTAGTAACATAGACTAGTAACATATGCATGTTACTACTCTAAGTTACTCCCCACTGTGACTAGTCTTATGGAATATATCATCATATATATGCAAAGAAAGCATGCTAATACCAAAGGAACTGGAACTGCCTACTTTTGAGTTTGGAAGTCCACTTCTTTCAGAACCTGCAATTGAGTAAAAGGAATTTATTATAGTGCTGCTGGGGTACCATAATCGGTTATCTGGAAATTCATAGTGCATGAGCAGAAAACTTTATTAATACCTATCAGGGGACTGCTGCCGTCATGTTCATCAGAATCTGAATCGCTGAGCACAACTGTAGAATGACCGGCTGCCGTTAAAGGTCCTGCAGGACCATCCAATCCAGATCGTGCGAGACAATCGCGAGCTGTCTCTTTGCCTTTTTCTGTTAGGTAATACCTACAGCAAACTCATACGGTAAGTCCCAAGTCTATGCTTGGTATCTCAACAGAATGTGTGTGATTGGCAAATAAAGCCCCAGAGAGAGAAAAGGAATTGCAAACTGAACAGGGTGAGCTTCTGCTTGTATTCAGGGTGGAAATAAAGACGGGAGATGAGTGTAGGACCAAAATAATGAGCAAGATCTGGTTCATGTAGCAATCTGGCATATATCTGGAACATTCCCAAATGGCCACATGTGCAAGATTTTTATAAACATGTTTCAGGTTCATATTGTGGACCAGATAAGTACAAAGGAGCTATGGAATTGGACATGCCTGCTTCTATTCCATCGATAGAAAATTGATGATATGCCACCGCAGAGCTGTATGTTTAAAAGATATATTTTCTTAATTAGCTCAAAAGATTAGAGAGCATTATATTACCTAAGGTGCCCACAAGCATCAACTAGCAAACTATCAGATGTTGATACTCTGCTAGCATATATATGACTTCACTGCTGCACTATATCAAACTTCTCCGACCAAGAGAAAAAACTGAAGTAGGATTGTTTCTTGATACAAGTTAAATTACTAGAGAACACATTTACCAAACAGCAAAAGCACACCAGATGTTAGCCACATTTTTGGATCCTGCCGATCCACACTCAGACCAAAACATGTGAGAGGCTTTTCTATCCGGTGAGTGTCGCAAGAGCATGAATCAGATAAACTAGTGCAGACACAATCATACTTAAATATGTGAGAACCCTATGAACCCTCTAATGAGAGTCAAGTTCATGCATACAAGTGATGTATTTTATAGCTCTGGTATCTCCTTGAGTTTGAGTCCATTAAAATATCCTTTATCATTTAAGAAAGATCAGGCAAAGTAAAAAAGTTCACAACCAATAGCTAGCAGAGCCACAATAGTACATTATACAGCAATAGCCAGTGATGTGAAGGTAATAAAACTTGTGCTCTAATACGTGAGTATAAAACGTATTGGGTTTATTCCCCTAAAAGATCCAATTATTTTTTTAATAAATGACGGAAAAACATAACATTAATATGAGGATGAGCCTGGTACATTACTTTGCAGGATTACTCTTTTTCTTAACCAGATCCTTATTTGTTAACGTCTTCATGCTATTCCATCCAGTATAACTGTAACCTTCATTCCGAGAATTCCTACTGTTGTTTGGGCTGCTCATAATACAACAGAGACAGTTAGCGATGCACTAAAATATCAGCTGAAATCAGCAACCGTGGCATATACTGAATCATTGAAACTGTACCCTATTGCATGTTCTGACAGACCACTGGCCTCAGCAGCATCAATAAGCTCTTGCCTCATCATAAATTCCTTCCCTCTTTCCATTTCCCTAGGGGGGGAAACAACTGTCAATATCCGTTGTTGCATATTCAAGTGTCTTTTCCCTTTTCCTCTGATTAAATGTTGCCCTTTGTACTAAGGTTGCATTAATTTTGCAGCGTGAACAACAAAAATGTAGGTAAGATAGCCCCCCACCCCCACCCCCAAAAAAATCATACCTGTAGAGTGTGATCATTATTGCATAAGCAGCTGATTTCAACCGTGGCACATAAGGTTTGTTTCGTGTGTTCTTCTTCCCTGTTAAAAGGACAGTACCCTGTAAGATATGATAATAGTCCTGTTTCCATTGAACTGAGTATTGATAAAACTGAAGGGGAAGAAGACTTGTTGCCATCCTGATGATGAAAAAGGAATAACAGATTCCAGAGGACACGTGAGCAGTCATGAAAACTATTACCCATTTCTCCTGGTGTATTACTTGTCGGAGGAGACAAATCAAGGCTGGACCCTGGAAAGGAGTCTTCCATAACATCAACAACCCAACCTCCAACTCCCCTGACAAAAATAATAGAACCGAGGAAGCAACAACAATGATTAAACTAATTCAGAAAATGTAATTTTTTTCAAAAATCGATGCAACTCAATGTAGAAAGCAACGATTGATGTGTGATTTCCACCTCTAAATTGAACACACAAAAGAAAAATCAAAGGGAAAGAGTTCTATATGAACCATTTCTCTGGTTATCTACTTGCAGGCGAATCCCAAGTAGAATGACAACCCTAAAGGGATGGATATAAATACACCTCCCCATATAAAAATGGCAATGGCCTGAATCAATTTCAGCATATACCTGCAGCAAATCAACGGCCGCAGCAGATGAGTAAACATAAGGGGAACTGAACTGAAACTTATGATTCCACAGACCAATAGCCATCCAAACCGAAAATTCATGCTCAGACCAAATGGGCATAACTAAAATCCCCTAAGGACTAAACCGTTACATCCACCGAACAGAGCTAAGGCGCCCAAATCATAAACCGACCCATTTGTCTTAGAGCAGCGATGTGACCCAATACATAATCCCAAGCGCGCGACCACGAAATCGACCGAAACCTAGCCTCGTCGCAACAGTGTAAGATGAAACAGTTTGAGAGGGATGGGGAAATGCGCACTTGAGACGGGCCAGGTCGCCGGGGGTCCGGACGGGCTCCTTGGCGGCGCAGACGCCGGTGTAGGCGGCGGAGAGCGCGCGCGCCTGGTGGTCCGGGAGGCCGCACGGCTGCTGCGCCGCCATGGAGCGGTGCTTCTCGAAGATCCTGGCCGCGACCTCCTCGTTCTCCCGGAGGTTCACCTTGCGCTTCTTCTTCGGCGCCGACGGGGCCATCTGCGCCGAGGGTGGGGGCGTGGGAATGTGGGATTGGGAGGGGATTGAGGCTGTGGGGGTGGGGAGTTGGGAGGGGGGGTTAGGGTTTGGGGTTTGGGAGTGGGGAGGAGGAGCCCGCCATTACTGGTGCGGAAGTTTTGGCTTTGTGGTTCACTGGTTTTTACAGTCGATAATGTTTTTTACAGTCGAGAGTTAACTCTGAACAGGTAAATATAAACAGATAAATAAGTGCCGCGGCAGTCATGATGGGAACGAGACCGTACGTAGAGGTGCACGCTACACAGAGACCGTGTCCTACTCCTACTAGGCATGTTTGAAATGACAAGTCGAAATGCCAAAAGTATTGAGCTAGTTTTGAGGCCCCGTTTGGTTTGGCCGTGGATTTCTAAAAGAATATATGAAAAATCTGCTATGAAAAAATAGTTGTGGAAAATCTGATGTGAAAAAGATGTAGGTCATTTGGCAAACCAGCTAATACAATTTTTTCAGATTTTGGCCTGCAGCGGAATCAAATTTTGGAAAGCACGTCCTGGGCTGCTTCCGCTTTTGGTTCAGATTTTGGCAGTGGATTTCTGAAATCGGATTCTGCTAGGTTCGCCCTTTGATTCAGATTCTGCTGCACGGTAGCGGAATCTGTCGATAAAAGCTGAACCAAACAGGGACTGAGTATTAAATCTCTGAGTAATATGTTTGTTCTGTAAACACAGTAAAAACTTTGAGTTTTGCATCCTTTGTGGAAAATAAATTTAGTGCTTACTTTTATTTCTCCTTCCGATCATCAAATGTGACTCTTTTTTGGGTTTTTATCAGTTATGCCACCGGTTGTGTCCCACTATTCAGTTTTGCCATTAGAAATTTCAACCGCTCAAAAATGCCATCGCTTCATTAGACACATGCTCAAAAATGCCACTAAACACCATTATTGTGATCTCAAATCTCTTTTGTCATGTTATAATAACATAAATACCTATGGACCAACATGTCAGCTCTCCCTCTATCTCACTACAGTAAAGTATGGGGCTCACTTGATCCCAATAGCGTTTTTATTTTCCTATAAAATTATTCGCTTGGTTACTCGTGACAAGTGGGGCCACACATATCATTGTGAGATAGAGAGAACTGACATGTGGGTCTAGGCTTATTTTTGTCACAGAACATGGTCAACGGGTTTGACGTAAAAATAACAATGTCTAATGGCATTTTTGAGCAAACATCTAACAGAACGATGGCATTTTTTAGATATCTAATGGCATTTTTGAGCAAGCATCTCACGGATTGATGGCATTTTTGAGCAGTTGTAACTTCTAATGGCAAAATTGAGTAGTGGGACACAACCAGTAGCATAAATGATAAAACCTTTTTTTTTAATGCTTGGAAAAAATACAATCACATAGGAGGTGTTGAAGTTTTTATATATACTTCTCTAAATCCTTTTGTTTGTGTGGGCAGATTTTTACAAACATGTTGTTCACGCATTTTGAAAGCTATGTAAACTCACTTTGTATGCTAAGAGCAACTCTAGTAGATTCGTTATATCTGCGAACATCGTCCACCACATGGAGGATATGAAGGCCATGGTGGGTGTGCGCAAACAAAAGTTAAAATCACCAGCAAAAGTGCAGCTATGATGGTGGAATCGATGTTCAGGACGCTGGGCATATATACTCGCAATTGTTGCACGAAATGGTCCGAAAGATGTTGTGGTTGCTGATAGGCTCGGATTACATTTAAGCAGAGTGAACACAGAGATGCCAAATAGAGAGGCCCAAAACTTTCCTGATAGAGAGCAACTCATTAAGGAAACATAGTCGTTCTGTCCCATTACCTTCATTCCCTCCCATCTGGAAAGGTTGCAGTTGCGGCTAAGCGGTTCTTCATAGCTGCGCTCGGTGGGTTAGTGGTTGCTTTGCTGTAAGCTGTCGGGTGTGACAGACGAGGAGGCAATGCTACGACCAGGCCTCCTAGCAGTAGCCGCCAGGCTGCGATCGGCGAAGAGGGGGGCCTCTCCGCCTTTACACGACGAGTCCACAATGTCATCTCAGTCTCACATGGTTCCAACTCCCAGTGCATTGCCATTGCCGGCTGGTACGGACAAGCCTTATTTCTACCTGCTTGACTATCAAGTGTACATTGCCATTATCAATCTTCGTTCCTCACCATGCCATGCTTGCACCATACCATGTGAATCTTCGGTAGCACCAGCAACAAATCTTGCACCACGCCATGCTTGTTGATACACCAACGCAACTCTTGAGGCTTAATTTCTTTTATTGTCGACTATGCTACTAGCCTAGTGCTAAAGCTTTTTTTTTTTTGCAAAACATGGAATTTATGGCCGCACATTAGCTTTTTGATAGTTTGATTGGTGTCACTGATTAATTGTAGATTTTTGTTGGTCACACATTGGTTTGTTTATTCATTAATTGCATAGGTTTGATTAACTGCATATTTGTGTTGGTTTATGTTTACTAGAACAGTAGGAAGATGATGGATTAATTATTAGGTCTCCTTTGGTTTGGAGGAATTTTATATGAATTCTATAGGATATGATTCTTATAAGAATTTTTCCTTTAAAGTCCTTTGGTTCATACGAATGGATTCCTATCCCTACGTAGGATTGGTTTCTGTCCTCTACATTTCAAAGGAAAATCAACATTAATTAGCCTAGACTCAATGGAAAAATTTCTATGATGTGAACCAAATGACATCTCTTTTCCAATTTCTACTCATAGGATTTGGGATATATGTCATCTCAGTTCCTACAAGTTTCTTATTCCTATGATATTCCTATCCTATGAACCAGAGGAGGCCTTAAATTCTTGACAGAGCACATAGATAATTGAATTGTTTATGTCTATTTGATTTTTGTAGGCTTGGTTGATCAAGCACTTCACGTAGGGCTCCTTTGATACAAAGGAATTTCATAGGATTATTGAAGGTTTTCGATCCTTAAGATTTTTTCCTATGATGGCCGTTTGATTTGTAGGATTGGAATCCTTAGGATCTTTTCCATAGGATTCATTTGTACTACATTTTGAAGGAAACTTTCCATCCACTTAAACCTCTTTGTAGAATTTCTTTGTTTTTCATGTGTTATCAAACACTTCTCCCAATCACGTAGGATACAAGAGGAGATGACACTCTATTCCTATGTTTTTCCTATTCCCGCGTTTTGAAAATCATGCAAATCAAAGAAGCCCTGATAGTACAACCACCTCATGTACTTCCAGTGAACTCAGATGACCCGACATGGATGCATTGCACTATTCCAGACATTAACTAGAAGTCCTTGTGGAATGCAACTTCTGCCATGGTGTTTACGCTAGTGGTATTACTGAATGAAGTACCACCTTGCAAACATCAAGAAAGAAACTGACTTTTTGTGCAGACATGTTCCTACTGATGTAAAGTAAAGGATTAGGGAGTTGATCTCAAACAAAGATGATTCAAAGGAAAAGAAGGCCAATGGCACAACAATACATAAAAGTGATGTAACTTTGGATGGCAATGATGTTGGGATTGCTGATGAAGATGACATGTTGGGTGGTGGTATTCTTCTCTTTTTTTTGCGGGTGGTGATAGTATTCTTCTATTCTCATGGAAAGGCCATAATAAGGGCTCCACATATGGTGCTATGGGTAAGTTTTGCATCAAAAGGTGACGGTGGCGGTGGTATTCTTCTTTTTTTGCGAGTGGTGGTGGCATTCTTCTATTATCATGGAAAGGCCATAGTAAGGGCTCCACATATAGTGCTATGGATAAGTTTTGCGTCAAAACACTAGAAAGATTGTAGCTGCAAGGAAGGGGAAAGGCTTTTCTATTAAGTTACAAACCAAGCTATCCACTCAAAGAAGGGGAGAGATCAGGATTTGTGGCTGTGAGTATATTTGTTAGTTCTTCCATGAAACAGACATTACCCTCAACACAGTCCTACTTCCAAGCTTTGAAATGATGCTTGCAGTGATTGGAGCATTTGGGAGAGACATGTAAGGCCTTACTCCCTATGAAATGTTGACAAAGAACAAGCCAAAGCAGAAAGATCAAGAACAAGAACTACCATCTGCAAATGCAAGTGTGCAAGCTGGACCATCAACTTCGGCATTTAATCCAATACTTAAAAAAGAAGAAGATTATGATTCCTGTTAGTCTGTTACTCATGAAGATATACTTTCCGCTTCCTCTGCTTCAGAAAGTGACGACGGCAGCAACGACACTGACATGAGTTCTGGTTCTAAAATGTTAGACTGTCAGTTTGTCTATGGATTTCTTTATGTCGTTCCTTATTCTACCCTCTGTGCTTTTAAAAACTCTGTGATTTGTGAACATTTCATGATGCATGTAATGGACGTGGTCTTTTTGCTTACCGGCCCTGGTGCAAACCTCTATTATTCATGATGCATGGGAAGTTATGAACTTGAGACTTTGAATTCAAGTGAATGGTGAATGCTTGTTTTGTTGTAATTGGTGATGCTTGTTTGATTTCCCTTGTTTTTCAACTGCCGAACTGGTGGTGCTTGTTTGATTTCCCTTGTTTTTCAACTGCCGAACTGGTGATGCTTGTTTGTAAGTTCTAACCTATAACTAGGGATGTTGAATATATATTCTGTTTTCTTGCTGAAAATCCCAAGTTTTCCTGCTAAAATTGCCCTGTATTGGTCGCTATAGCAGCTGTAGCGTTTGGGACAATCTACTGTGAAATGAAATCTCCCTTGGGACAATCTGGATGCAAGTCACCTGATCCCTGTCCGTCGAATTCACATGCAAGGTGCGTCCTCACATGACACATTTGAAAAGCTCCAAAGAGATACTACCTCTGTCCCTTCATATAAGAAGGTTTTGCAACCGCAAAAACATCTTAGATTAAGGGACAGAGGGAGTATGTTATTGGTAATTCATTTTGGAAGAGATCATTCTAAAGGAACACAAAGTTTTGGACAAAGAAATTTGACGACTCTAGGCTCATCACACAAACACTGAACCTGGATAGAATCTCGAGCACA